TAGGATTAGGAACAATGCCGTTTTGGAACAGCTGCTTGAAACAATGAAGTCAGTCACGGTCTTGTTGAATTGGGGGTGCGGTTAGTAATAGGTACTTTTCAAGTTTTCAATTTTTGTTAAGAACTCTTTAACCCCGAAGCCAGAATTGGGGGTGCGGTTACTATTACGTATGCGGTTTATATTAGGACTTTAACGGTAGTGGCTATAAATCTAATATGTCAATATTGATCACCTTTTCTTTCCTGATAACCTTGCAACAAAAAGCTTTGCTTTTTTGTGATTCTACACAGCAATAAATGCTATTCATTTTGGAAGTGAGGGGTTTACATTTGCTTTTATCTTCTGTATATATATTTATATTCATTTTGCTTTCTTTACAGTTTGCAAAGAAGGAAATAAAAATTCCTGGTCTGTTAGTGATAGACACACCAGGCCACGAGTCGTTTAGCAATCTCCGGTCTCGTGGATCATCACTTTGTGACATAGCAATTCTAGTTGTAGATATAATGCATGGACTAGAACCACAGACAATTGAATCAATTAATCTACTTAAGAAGCGGAAAACACCGTTTGTAGTAGCATTAAATAAGGTAAGTTTGTGGTTGCACTGAATAAGGTAAATGAGATACCAGTATTTTACTATGTTTATTAGTTAATTAGTTTCAACTTAGCAACAAATCATGCCTAACCTACCACTAAAGAATAATCTATTCATGGTAACATCAATTGATGCATACGAGTATGAGTTACTCATTGGGTGTTGCTATTTTTACCAATAAATAAACATTTCCTAAATTACAATAGAACATGAAAATTGGGGAATAAAAACAAATATGTAAGTGTTTAATAATATTAAATACCACTGAAAGTTAATGATTTTATCGATAATCGCTGCTCATTTGTCTCACTTTTCAATGTGCTTATTATTTGATTAATTATCTTTTCCATTTCCTCACATTGAGTGTTCCTTATTTATTTCCTGAGATAGATTGTCTGCTATTTATTTCCTCAGAATTGACAGTCTGTTATTTATTTCCTCAGAATTGATCATCTGTTATTTATTTCCTCAGAATTGATCATCTGTTATTTATTTCCTCAGAATTGACAGTCTGTTATTTATTTCCTCAGAATTGACAGTTTCTTATTTATTTTCTCAGATTGATCGTCTTTTTGAATGGAAAAGTAGTCCTCACACTGATGTTTCAAACACAATTAAAAAACAGAAGCCTAACACTAAATTAGAATTTGATGAGAGAGTTCAGCAGGCCATTACAGAGTTTGCTGAACAGGTTTGTATTTGTGATTCATTCTGCTTGAAGTCTGTGTGATGCATTAAAAATACGTAGAATTATATGGAAAACAGGTTATTTTCTACCTTAGAAAGAAACTGACATTTGTTCACCAGTGTTTTGTCAATTATTATATTTCCCCGCCTTGAAATATGGAATTTTGTGATTAACCAATACTGTAAAAAGATTATTCACTGGGTTTCAATTTTGCTTATTTTGCTGACTGGCAAATGCGCTAAAATAAATCCAAGTGAATATTTAATATTTAGCATAGAACACATTATCTAAATTATAAAACCTTGAATTTAAAATCCACTCAATATGCCTGAAATGGTAAATCAGTGAAATTTAAACCCAGCGAAAATTAGTCATTTTACCGAAATCAAAAATATAAATAATTATTGATGTGATCAATATGACACTTTATAAGATACTTGGTATATGATATAATGGTTGTTATTTCCGCAAATCATCAAGGACAAAGTAGGTTTGACATGAATAAGTAGATTAATATAAATGCATATACCTTATTACACTTACAGGGACTGAATGCTGCTTTGTTTTATGAGAATAAAGATCCACGTACATACATATCATTTGTGCCAACTTCCGCTCATACAGGAGATGGTATGGGTAATCTAATGGCATTAATTACAGAATTCAGTCAGACACTACTGGCTAAGCGATTGGCTTATTCTGATGAGCTGCAATGTACCGTTTTAGAGGTAAGCTTAACGCTGTACGTTGCTCACTGGAAACTGAAATAGACCCTTATAATAAAGCAGTTCAGTCTGTCTTACTTGCCATTCTAGTCTCTGTTCGAACGAAGTCTGAAAACAAGAACTTAACATTCGTTCTCTGTCCGTCCGTGTGTTCGTTCAGAGTCGTATTTCAGAATCCTTTGGATCGATTCTGTTCATTCTTTGCATGTGCTTAGTACTTTATGTGGGACATATGCACATGCAGTGGTTTAGCGATTCGATTCAAAATGGCCGACTGTCAGCCATCTTGTTTTTTGAAAATGTTGTATTTTGAACATGCTTTGTCAGTTCTCATTCAAACTTGGTACATAGATTATACATGTTAGGATACATGTCCATGACAATTTCTTTCGCAATTGGATCAAAGATTGCCAACTGGCAGCCATCTTGTTTTTTTTTTAATGTGGTATCTTGGACATGCTTTGTCAGTTTTCATTCAAATTTGGCACATCTTTTATACATGTTAGGATACATGTCCATGACAATTTCTTTCGTAATTGGATCAAAGATTGCCAACTGCCAGGCATCTTGTTTGTTTTTTTAATGTGGTATCCTGGATGTGCTTTGTCAGTTTTCATTCAAATTTGGCACATCTTTTATACATGTTAGGATGCATGTCCATGACAATTTGTTTCAAAATCGATCAAGGATGGCTGATTGACAGCCACCTGACTTTTTGGCCTTAGTACTATATTTCCATGATTTATGTACTATTTGCATTTGTATTTGGCACATACATCATACTTGTCAGTTTGTTTCATAATCAGATCAAAAATGATCGAATAACAGCTGTTTTTATTTTTGGCCATATAATATCTCTGTCACCCATGTATAATTTTCATTGATATTTAGCATGTCATAAATGGATACATGTACATGTCAATTCAATTTGCAATTTCATCAAATATGGCCGCCTGGAGGCCATCTTGTGTGTTTAAAATGTGATAACTTGGACATGCTTTCACTTGTGATCTATGTTTTTCTTTGCTATGTCTTAATCCAGAGGGGTCGTCACGCAACACATGCTCGAATTTGATGTAAATAAACAATCTGTTGTATTTGCCACTTGGGACTCAAGTTTCAAGGACATGCTTGCAACAACCCCTCCACTTATATGATGAGCACAAAGAGAACATTTTCAATGACTTGTTTACTTTGTGCTAGCTTGCTGATTACTTAAAACAACCCACAATTAATGATGTTTACAATGAAGTCCTACAATTTGACCAAAATTCAGGATAATAAATTTAGTTTCTTGTGTGATTGTTGGCCATTTTCGGCCAAAAAAAGTTTGAATAAGGCAATAAATGTTAGGTAAGTAGGTAGGTAGGGTAGGATTATCTGAACCATGCATGTTTTTTTATTATGCCATATATACTTACTGATTGTTCTGTTCTCTCTTTCCATAACAAAAAAGTCCTATTTATAGTCTGAACTTTTCTTCAGAAAACTGAGACAAAAATAGACAAATTATCAGAGTAAAAACTGTCTGTTGGCTCCAAAAATATAAGAATATAAGAAAAAAGTGCTGAAAAATTTGGGTGAGAAAATCTTGTGAAAAGGCTAAGCTTCCATTCCATAATTATTATATCACTATTTATATCAGTTTAATATCTGTTTGTTACAATTCAAAATCTTACTAAAGACAGAACTTACATAACTATAGAATGTTCTAAATGTTAATAACAGACGATAATGACAATTCAACCTCAAATACTTCACATTGGCTTCTAAGTATCACAAGGAAGTTTACAGTATTGACTTTAAATAACAAAGCCCTTGCTATTTTCAAGTCTGGATTTAAAAATACATATATCAAGGCTCTAGTTTTTGTTTGCCTGAATCTTCATAAATAATTATTGTGATCACAAGAAAGAATAAAACAACGTTATTGCTATACGAGACACTGTTTAGCTAACAAAATGGTTAGTGATATCATTAAAAATAAATGCTATTAATTTTATTTCAGGTTAAAAGTTTACCTGGTTTGGGCACAACAATAGATGTAGTGTTGGTCAATGGCAAACTCCGAGAGAGTGATACCATTATAGTAGCCGGGCAGGAAGGTCCTATTGTATCACAAGTTAGGGGGCTTCTTATGCCAGAACCTCTCAAAGAACTTCGAGTTAAGGTAAGTAATAACACAGGGTTTGTATATTATCCCTCTCTCCTCTCAATTGAGTGAAATTCACTACGTTCAATTACCCACCATAGACTCCAGTCAGTCAAAATGACTATTTTGAACTGTAGGTAGACATTAATCAGCGATTCTGCCGGGGACGAAGAGATAAAATCTAGGTCAGGGGAAGCCCCATGACCCCAAGATTCTCTTCCCTTACGTCACGAACCACGTGACCGAGGCCATATGGCAGCGCCACTAACGGCTGGACAATCACTCTGATTTTTCTCCGCCTCGAATGGAGATGAAATCTAGCGAGCTCTGCCCGGATCACTCGCTTTTTTCCTGTCCGAGTTTCTAGCTTGGGTTGTTGCCGCTGGGTGGCATTCGACATTCTAACTGGTAGGATAAGTTTTTCTTGTCTTCTTTACCCTCGTGTCGTTTTCCCCTTTGTGTGTAATATTTTTCACAACAAAAAAATTAAAACCCAGCGCCACTACGTAACCACTTGTTGGTTTCGTGGCGGCTCCTTTTACTACTGTAATTCGTTTTCCTCATGCATGTCGTCTTCATTTTTGCTTGATCTACGTATATAGAAATGAATAGATGTAATGACAGCTCCATGACTCCCTGCCGTTTTTTGGTCTACTCGTTTTCAAGTCGACTGTGCAGTGGTTATATTCAGAATTTACCAGCATAGAACCTGCATCCAATATGCTTTTTCGCCGTGGCTGCGTGCGAGGTTCGGGGTCATTGCCTTGAAGGCGTGCGTTTTTCACTCGAGTTCTGAGGCCTGAGATATTTTTTTCAGAGCCATCAAAATTGCTGAGACTGACCCGTTTTTTCACAGCAAGGTCGTGCATCCAGTAAAAATCGGTTAAAGTGAGTTGTGTGTTTGGCATGATTGGAAAGTTCTCACACTGGGCTACCGGTGCTTCGCGTACCGGGACGTTGAGTAGGAGGCCCGACAGTGGAGGTACCGGTCGGAGGGCATCTTCACAGTCTGTGTTTTCAGGCAGTGGTTTACTCGATTTTACCGGCTACAGTGAGGCTGTGCCCCTGGTAGTTTTTTTCCCTCTATGGGGCCTGTCGAGGGTCCCTTTGTGGATCTTTCCTCGCACGGCACCGGGTTTGCCTCGGAGTTGAGGGCTTTGGTCGAAGGACTGTCGGGGGAAATTGCATCTCTGGCAGGCCGGGTAGCAAGCTGTCTCCACTGCGGCCCCCAGTGGGCAAACAGAAAGAAACACGAAAGCATGTTTGCATTCAAACACGTCTCTTCCGGGGAACTCCCGCTTCCAGCCGCGGCTCTCCTACTAATTTGGGTCAGGCCGAGACTAATTGCTAATTTCACCGGGCCTCCTCTGGAGCCTCGGGCACTGAATGCCAACGGGGTGCTGGCAGCCAAGCCTCCGAGCTCGGGGCAGGGCTTTCAGGGCAGGGCTTTCAGGGCAGGGCACACGTTGACCAACCTACTTTCAGCCAGCCAGGGTTCGTCGCGCGGTAATGGTACAACGGTAACGAATTTTACTCTTGTGTCCGGTCTCCGCTGTGGGTTTTGACTCCCTTCTCACTGACCCATGGGCGTCCCCAGAGGGAACCGACCCTGTTATGAGACGCACAGTCGAACACGTTCTCTCTCGCATATTTAAAGTGAAAAGGAGACAGAGTTCACTCGCGTCGGATACAGCCGGTACCTCGGGCGTTCCCTCAGAATCTTCCATCCGTAACGACTCGGTGAGCCACGCTTTTGGGGTGATACGGAGTTCCATCGATTATAGTGATACGATGTAAATACCCCCACTCCTGATGCTAAGGCGACCTCTTTCAGTTGCTTCAATGCTTATGGGATCACGGGCGTCGGGATTCAAAGCAACTCCGTCAGCATGTCTCTCCCTGTCTGTCTGAGTGCGGAGTGGGACACAGGGCACGCAAACGGTGTTGATGGGCAGACGTTGGTCAGCCGCGGAGGAGGTAACGCTTAAGGCCCCCGGATGGGGTAAAATCTTATGCAACACTTTCCGCTGGACCAAACGCTACCAGGTCGGTGTGGTTTCGGGATCAGTCCCCAAAGTGTGGGATGAGACCAAAATACCCCCAACCGGATCCCAAGGCTCCTTCCCCAGACCCTGGTACCACGAATTTCCGTTGGGCAGACCGGGTAAAGGGGGGACAGCCCCGTTTCATGGGCGCTCTCGCCAGGTCAATCTGAGACTATCTACCACGCTCTGAAGGCAGAGTTGCTTGAGCGCAATATCGTGCGCGCCAAGTACTCTGAGACCTCGGAGGCAGAATGCACCAGCCTCCTAGACCAGGCGACACATTTATTGGTGGGCCACCGCACATCTACGTGCGACATCCCCTAGTGTCACCTGGCTCTCATGGCCAGGGCCACTTCTGCGCAATGAGACGCGGCCTTCGATGCGTGTGTTTTTGCCAGCAAGCTGAGTCAGGGGGTACGTCCCTATCTCAGTGACACAGACTGGACATCTCCCATCTTCTTTGTTCGGGGAATGGTGGGTACAGTCTCGGAGCTTCAGAGTGCAATGAACCAGAGGGTTCAGATCAAATCCGCTAGCCAGTTGACCCTGCCAAGGGCAAGCAGAGGGTACCCCAAGCACAGAAAACACAACGCCCTAGGGCGTTGTCCGCCAGAGTCAGCCAGGAGGCAAGCGCTCATACCCTTGCATGGGAGGGAAGAGTAGTGGCGCGCCCCCAGGGAGGAAAGAGCCAGGTGGTGGCTCCTCACCCTCCTCGGGCGGACGTCTACCCCGGCAGCGGGGGAAGCATGTTTGACGCTTACCTCTGCAACCGGGGGGACAGTCATGTGTTCGGCGAGTGGCCAGGTCACAACTTAGTGACTATTTCAGGCCTTGGGGAACTCGCCTCATGGGAGAAGGGAGCACCACCCCATTCAGGGTTCTCCTCTCCATCCACAGTTTCAACTGGCTAGCCCCACTAGAATTGAGTGGGGCTTAACTGCACATAGCGATGCACCCAGCGGGTTGCCATCTCTTTCGAATCGCCCAGCTGGGCCAAGTATTCGAATTTCGGGTGCTCCCCGTTCGGGTTATGCACAGTGCCCTACATGTTCACCAGAGTGATGAAACAGGTAGTGCTGCTGCTTCACCAAATGTCGGTACACCTCAATCCGTACCTAGACGACTGGTTACTTCATAACCCGGACAAGGGGTTAATAGCCAAACATGTCAGGCTAACACAGGATTTACTTCACCAGTTGGGCTCGTTAGTAAATCGACAAGTTTCATCTCAACCCAATGCGCAGTTGGTATCCCTGGGCATGGAGTTTTGACACAGAGGTAAGCTTGGTTTAGCTATTTCAAGCGTGTTGCTTAGCGCTAAGCAGCCTAGCCGAACGCCTAGTCAGCGTTCCCTCAGTGTTCCTCCGAGAACTAATGCGAATCATCAGAATGATGACCTCAGTTCGAAGGGTTGTTCCTCAGGCTGCACTACGCAGCCACATGGTATAACGCTTGTTATAACGCCGAGCTCTCCTATGGGAACTAGATAGGCGGATTTTGAACTCGCCGCAGGTATGACTCTGGTAACAGATGTCTCCTCCCAAGGTTGGGGAGCGCATCTATTAGACGAACAAGCCAGGATATGGCCCCCGCATTAGTTTCGGGACTGCCATATCAACCGGCTCAAACTAAAAGCAGTATACTTAGCACTACCACGCTTTCTACCCGTAGTTCAAGACCACAGAGTCCTGCTCCGCACAGGCAACACAGCGGTGGTCTTCTTCAAGAAGGAGGGGGCGCGCGTTCCCCATCATTGCCAGTCCTAGCTGAGCAAATCCTCCTTTGGTGCCTGGAATACAATGTGGAGCTAACCGCACACCACCTTCCAGGGGTGAGGAACAGTCTGGCAGACGCCCTTTCATGGCGGCTCTGTCTCCAGAACACAGAGTGGCTGATACAAGCCTCCAGGCTGTTTCGGCTGTGGGCCGGTCCAAGGTTAGACAAGTTTGCCGCACCCCGGAACGCCAGCTTCCGACGTACGTAACACTCCTGCCGACTCCAGGAGCCTGGGCCAGGGTCGCTTTGCTAACCTTGTGGACCCACTTAGTTGTGTACGCCTTTCCTCCCTTCCCGCTAGTTCACCGGGCACCGGAGAAAACTTCGACAGGTGCACACCTGCATATTATCATTGGTTGTACCCAATTGGCCAAGCAAGGCCCAGTTTCCACTTCTGTCGGAAATGCTAGTCGAAACATCAGTAGTGCTTCCAGACTTACCGGACCTGCCTTCCCAACCAGACTGCGCACTACCGACGAGCCTAGCGGGTATCACTTACACGCATAGAGGCTCTCAGTAGACCCGCACATACGAAAGCTTTATCTGGCCAGGGCGAACAGGGATTCCACCAACACTGCCTACATTTTTAGGCTGCGAGCATACACTGATTGGTGTAGCGGAAGGGAGATTGATCCATACCATCCCTCTATTGGCCAGGTAGCAGGCTCCTTCGTCCACCTGTTTGATGAAGTGGGTTTGTCCTACGCAGCGATCATTGGCTACAGGTTGGCCTTATCCCCCACCATTCAAACGTACGGGAACAAGACTAACCGATTGTCCTATTATTAGGAGACTATTTACTGCTTTCCAGACCCCATACAAGGGAACCGCCCAACTGGGACTTGTTGGCTGTGTTGTCTGCTCTAAGCAGACCGCCCTTTGAGCCTCTCCGATCAGTACCACTCAAATTTTTGACGTGGAAAATAGTCTTCCTACTGGCCCTGGCCTGAGGTAGGCATCGGCCAGAGCTGGGGGCATTGTCCTTCTCGAATGATGTACCACCGTTATGGACAATCAAGTTGTGCTAAAGACACAAATCAGGTTTCTCGTCTAGAACCAAATCCCAGGACACGATCCTCATCCGATCGTCATCCCCTGGCTGTCAAATTTTGTCTGCCCGGAGGGTCAGGAGGAATTGCTCTCTGCCCGGTTCGAGCCCGGAGTTACTACTAAACTGTAATAAGGATTCAGGACGGGGTGCCAGGCACATGTCTTTTGTGTTACGGCCCAGGCAGACACCATAGGCCGGCCTCCACAACTTCCATAATCAGGTGGTTTACTGCGACTGTATTAGAGGTCTATAATACTTTAACTGCCTCGACACAGAGCTTGCAGAGACACCAAGAACGAGCGCATGAGGTCTGTGCGATTGCCAACTCACTAGTGCTACCATTGGCCGAACTGTTTCGGTCCTTACTTCGAAAGCTTACTACCCCCAGAATTTGGTTGGAGTCTAGCTTTCTTGGGCACACCGAACCCTGTCACCGTAGCAGCATTTTGGCTTCTTGCTCTGGGGACAGCACAGGCAAGGTAAGACACCACCCTTTTTGGGTCTTAACTAAGGTGTTGAGTTTATTGTAGTTTGTTTCATCCCGGACTGGGAATAGACTTTCATCATTTTCTGTTTGCTCGGAAAACCCGCCACCTATCAGCGTCTGACTCTGCCTACAGTTCAAAATAGTCATTTTGACTGACCGGAGTCTATGGTGGGTAATTGAACGTAGTGAATTTAGGCAGAGGGTTCTCCGAACCCGCCTATTCACATAGTTCAAACCCACCATAGACTCCGTCCCCCCCCCCCTCAACCACCCCACTCTTTCCGTAGCGTTGGTCTAAGTCCTCGAGGCGGAGAGAAAGGAACCAGAGTTATTGTCCAGCCGTTAGTGGCGCTTCCATATGGCCTCGGTCACGTGGTTTGTGACGTAAGGGAAGAAATCTTGGGGTCATGGGGCTTCCCCTGACCTAGATTCTATCTCTCTGTCACCAGCAGAAGCGCTGATTAATGTCTACAGTTCAAAATAGTCATTTTGACTGACCGGAGTCTATGGTGGGTATGAACTATGTGAATAGGCGGGTTCGAAGAACCATCGCCTAAAACTAAAATCTAAACTGAGTACAATACTTGAATGCAGAAAATGAGAATGATTTTTACAAAAAGATTATATAAATTTTTGTTGTGAACAAATTTTTTTTGAATTTGGGATGGTATTTAGTTTACCGATCTAGAGAAATTTTTTTTTTTATTGAAACCAGTAATTACTCACATTACATTATTCTTTTCATACTGCCTACAATCTTTACAATGACATTTCATTCTGCTTAAACTTTTTACAATAACTTTTCATTATGCCTAGAATCCTTACAAAATACTTTTAACTATGCCTAGAATCCTCACAATAAATTTTCATTCTGCCTAGAATCCTTACAAAGTACTTTTAATTATGCCTAGAATCCTCACAATAAATTTTCATTCTGCCTAGAATCCTTACAAAGTACTTTTAATTATGCCTAGCATCCTCACAATAAATTTTCATTCTGCCTAGAATCCTTACAAAGTACTTTTAATTATGCCTAGAATCCTCACATTATTTTTTTATTCTGCCTAGAATCCTTACAATGTACTTTTAATTATGCCTAGAATCCTCACAATAAATTTTCATTCTGCCTAGAATCCTTACAAAGTACTTTTAATTATGCCTAGCATCCTCACAATAAATTTTCATTCTGCCTAGAATCCTTACAAAGTACTTTTAATTATGCCTAGCATCCTCACAATAAATTTTCATTCTGCCTAGAATCCTTACAAAATACTTTTAATTATACCTAGAATCCTCACAATAAATTTTCATTCTGCCTAGACTCCTTACAAAGTAGTTTTAATTACGCCTAGAATCCTCACAATAAATTTTCATTCTGCCTAGAATCCTTACAATAAATTTAAAGAAATCAAAGCTGCTCAAGGTGTGAAGATTCTTGCCAAAGATTTGGAGAAAGCTGTTGCTGGGACACAACTGTTAGTAGCTGTACAGCAAGATGAGATAGAAATATGCAAGGTGAGTTATGTCACATGTTGTGAAGGTTTCATTCAGTTCAAAAACCTAATAACAAGTTTTGGTTTCTATATACTGCTTTAATTTCGTGACAAAAAATTTTCACAAATTTTGTAGCAGTGAAAAATGTTCTTGGGTTTTACGACACGAAGTGTCATTGAATTTAGCAAAATTTTGTTTCTACAAATGATGTAAAATTCTTAGCAACAGCAATGGTTTACACCTATAATGTAACTTCGGCTGCCATTTTGTATTTGACAATAGTAAATGGCTTATACATTACAAAATTATTTCAGGACTCTAATATTTATTCCCCAGTTTCATTCATGGAGGCTAGACTGCATTGGTAATCATTGTTCCCAGAAGAATTATGCATAATATTTGCATATCATTTGCATAGTCATTTGAAATGATAACATGGGTAATAAAACCTAATTATCATTCACCTGCTATTGTCTGTTTAACACCAGTGTGAGTTTTTTTGTTTTTATAGGAAGAAGTAGAAGCAGCTTTAGAAGACACATTGAAATCATTTAAACTGTCTGACAGAGGAGTATTAGTACAGGCATCTACACTTGGATCACTGGAAGCTTTATTAGAATTTCTCAGGACATCCAAAATACCTGTAAGTTTAGAGTGCTACCATATGTTGTGTTGTGCACAGTTCAGTGTACTTTTTTTAGTTCTGCTGTCAACAAAGTCGTCACAGCGGAGCTGTTCATATTACTGATTGTCCATTGGCGGCGGCGTCAACTTTACAATTTCAACTTCTTCGAAACCGCAAGTCAGAATGTTTTCAAATTTGATATGCGAGTACCTTGGATGGTTCTTTCTCAGATTTGCTCATTTCATGTCAAAATCTCAAATTCTCTATTTTTAGTCCCCGTTCGGACGAAGTCCGAAAACGGGGACTTATAATTCGGTCTCCGTTCGTCTGTGCGACTGTTCGGAGTCATATCTCAGAATCCCTTGGACCGATTCCGTTCATTCTTTGCATGTGCCTAGTACTTTATGTGGGACATATGCACATGCAGTGGTTTAGTGATTCGATATAAAATGGCCGACTGGCAGCCATCTTGTTTTTTGAAAATGTTGTATTTTGGACATGCTTTGTCAGTTTTCATTCAAACTTGGTACATAGATTATACATGTTAGGATACATGTCCATGATGATTTATTTCACAATTGGATCAAAGATGGCCGACTGGCAGCCATCTTGTTTTTTGAAAATGTCGTATTTTGGACATGCTTTGTCAGTTTTCATTCAAATTTAGTACATAGATCATACATGTTAGGATACATGTCCCCGACCGTCTGTGAGTTCCTGAGTCTGTCCGTCTGACCGTTCGTGTGTTCGTCTGTCTGTTCGTCAGTCTGTCCAACGTCATATTTCAGAATCCTGTGGACCGATTCCGTTCATTCTTTGCATGTGCCTAGTATCTTATGTGGGACATATGCACATGCAGTGGTTTCGTGATTCGATTCAAAATGGCCGACTGGCAGCCATCTTGTTTTTTTGAAAATGTTGTATTTTGGACATGCTTTGTCAGTTGTCATTCAAACTTGGTACATAGATTATACATGTTAGGATACATGTCCATGATGATTTATTTCGCAATTGGATCAAAGATGGTCGACTGGCAGGCATCTTGTTTTTGTTTTTTTATGCGGTATCTTGGACGTGCTCTGTCAGTTTTCATTCAAATTTGGCACATACATGTACTTTATACATGTTAGGATGCATGTCCATGACAATTTGTTTCAAAATCTGGTCAAGGATGGCTGATTGACAGCCATCTGACTTTTTGGCCTTACTACTATATTTCCACAATTTATGTACCATTTTCATTTGTATTTGGCACATACATCATACAGATCAGTGTGTTTCATAATCAGTTCAAAGATGGCCGAATAACGGCTGTTTTTATTTTTGGCCATATTACTACTACACGGAACACGTGTTTTGATGTAAATAAACAATCTGTTGTATATGCCACTTGGAACTCAAGTTTCAAGAAAACGCTCGCGACAACCCCTCCACTTTAATATGACGAGCACAAAGAGAACTTAATGGGCACTGTGTCATTTTCAATGACTTGTTGGTGAATATATTTGTTTTTTGGTAAAAAGTGTTATTTTGACTTCTTGTAAAAAAACGCAAGTCCAATTACTTTGATATTACATATATAGGTACTACATGTGGATCTCTCGCAGATTTGTTCATTTCGTGATGATATCTTTAATTCTATAATTTTGGTGAATATTTTTGTAATTTTTGGTAAAAAGCAATATTTTTGACTTCTTGTTAGAAACCGCAAGTCCAGTTGGTTTGATAATACATATATAGGTACTACATGTGGACCTCTCTCAGATTTGTTCATTTTGTAATGATATCTTGAATTCTCTAATTTTGGTGAATATTTTTGTCATTTTTGGTAAAAAGTGATATTTTCAACTTCTTGTTAAAAACCGCAAGTCCAGTTGGTTTGATATTACATATATAGGTACTACATGTGGACCTCTTTCAGATTTGTTTATTTTGTAATGATATCTTCAATTCTCTAATTTTGGTGAATATTTTTGTCATTTTTGGTAAAAAGTGATATTTTTGACTTCTTGTTAAAAACCTCAAGTCTGATTGCTTTAATATCACATATATAGGTACTACATGTGGACCTCTCTCAGATTTGTTCATTTTGTGATGATATCTTCAATTCTCTAATTTTGATGAATATTTTTGTCATTTTTGGTATGTATATGTAGTACATGTGGACCATACAGTGTTCTTGCTTTTGTTTTGAATTCAGTCAGAATGAATAATGGTCTCAGTCAGAATGAATAATGGTCTCAGTCTCTTAAGAATTGTGGGCATCTGCTATCTGAGGTCTTTTATAATTTATAATGTACTGGTTACTTGATCCATGACCCTTTCATTTACTCTGCATAGTAAATAGGAATAAAGTGGGTGATGTATCTGATATCCAAAAAATACACAACATAATGATCGTCATTTTAACACCATGTTATAATGTTATTACAGTATGCTGGTATTAATATAGGTCCTGTACATAAAAGAGACATCATGAAAGCCATGGTTATGTTAGAGCATGACACACAGTAAGTTATGTTTTTTTATTTACAGATTATACTATTATTAGAAACTAGTAGCAATAATCAAAAACAATGGTCACCAACCTTTTTTTTTTTTTAAATCGTGTTATATTGGGCAGTTGATACACAGGCTAAGTGAGGAAAATGTAAAACATTTCATTTACCAAAAACATTGTCTTTTTATTTTTTTGAAAATCTGGATGATGTGAGGTAGAATGTTTTTTTCTGTCTATTTGTGGTGTAGAAACTACACATAAAAGCTTAGTCACATATATTTCAAATATGGGTTATACTGTATCCTGCAAACATTTCAAATATGGGTTATACTGTATCCTGCAAACATTTCAAATATGGGTTATACTGTATCCTGCAAACATTTCTATTGTTTGCACAGACATTAATAGTCATACTCAATACATGAGCAAAAAGAAATCCCCCCAAAAATTTAATATTTTCAAGTTATAAAATGCAGTTTTTTCTAAATTGGTGGTATGCTAGCACTCGTACAATTTTATATTCAAACTTGCAGAGATTGTGTGCCCTATCCTAGGCATATCAATTTGATAATGACATAACTCCAATAAAGTCTATTTCTTCATTGTTAGTCTCCGTTCGGACGCAGTCCGAAAACAGGGATTTATGTTTTGACGTCCGTGCTTCCGTTGGATTTTGTTACCTTGTATATACGTTGGACATTATAGGACCTTGATGCACATCATTTTGTTTTTCAGATACATGTAAGATTCAAAATGGCCGACTGGCAGCCATTTTGTTTTAATGAATGTGGTTCTAGTGCCATATCTCTGACTTGCTTAGACTGATTATGTTCAAATTTTAAATATTCATTATAAATCATGTCATAGATATAGAGATATATTGGTTTGACGATCCTATTCAAAATGGCCGAATGATTGCCATTTTTGTGCTAAAAAATCATCAAATATCATATCTGGCATTTATGGATGGATTTTGTTCAAACTTGGAACAAACATTAGACATTATGGGTTCCTGATGCACGTCATTTTATTTTTCAGATCAGATTTAAAATGGCCGACTGGTGGCCATTTTTGTATTAATGAATGCAGCTCTAGTGCCATATCTCTGACATGCTTTGACTGATTATGTTCAAATTTTATATATTCATTATACATGTATTCAAAATGGCTGATTTTGTTTTATTTAATGCTGTTCCAGAGCTATATCTCTCAATACTTGTTTGACGATCAGATACAAATGTCAATCATTTTAATGTTAAACAATCATCATAATCATATTCCTGACATGTTTATGTTCCATCTATATTACTATAAACAAAACTATATATCTTAAATTCGATAACTAACTGGGACTATTTCATGCATGGCTTGTTTATTATGAATCAGAAGACAGGAATTATATTCCTTGTTTGATAACATCAATGGTATCAAAAACAAGGACAAATTTATATGTATTATGAATGCCCATACTAGACAACAATTACTGGGGTTAATTAAATATATCAAAACAGCGTATACAATAAGAGAGCAAAAAATACCACAGTAGTTTACTTTTCCTTGTTTGTTTGTCACACTTTTGTTTTGTTTTGTTTTGTTTTTAACTTTATGAACTTCTACATGTGTAGAAATCAAAAAAGAATTGTCAAAATTTCTTTAATGTTGTAATAAAGCAATATTCTATTCTATTCTATTCTATAACATGTCATTCATAACTAACACTTGGGTTTTTCTAGGTATGCTGTACTTTTAGCGTTTGATGTGAAAGTGGAAAGGGAAGCGCAAGAAATGGCGGAGAAAGAAGGAGTCCGAATCTTCCAAGCAGATATTATTTACCATTTATTTGACAGTTTCATGCGATACAGAGATGAATTAAAGCAGAAAAAGCGAGAAGAATTCAAACATGTAGCCGTATTTCCATGTAAAATTAGAATATTACCGCAGTTTATATTTAATAGCCGTGATCCTATTGTGGTGGGAGTTGTGATAGAGGCAGGAATTGTAAAAGAAGGAACGCCTGTGTGTGTCCCGTCTAAAGAAGTAAGTTCAACTTTGTACAATTTGTTGTCATATAATTATTATAGCATGTATATGTTGCTGATTGAGTTTACTCATGGATGAAGTTTAGTTTAAAATTAATTTGCAATAGCTTAGGGTGTCCATAACAATAATATGTATTACATTTTACCACATTTGAATATTAGGTGTATTTTTTCAACAAGCTCAGTGATTTAGTTTTAAGCTCCACTCGACAAAGTTGACAGCGGAGCTTATCATGAGTGATTGTCCGTCGTCTGTGTCAACTTTTTACTTTATTGAAAATTTTGGAAAACTACAATTGTTA